AGAAATATCACCATTAAACATTGCAAAATATTTAGATATAATTGATTTAAAAGCATTCCAAATTGATTCCAGAATTGTTTTTGTCTTAAACATCCCTCTTACACATCCAGAGACCTACACCCTTTATCGTCTTTACCCAATACCACTATTAGATAATCGAACAGGTCTCCTTCACATTTTACCAACAACAATAAAATATATCGCGAGAGATGATGATTCAACATTTTACTTACCAATTCAAGAATTGCAATTAGAAAAATGTAAAACACTTTCTTCCACTCAACAAATTTGTTTCAATATGCTGCCATATCCAATTGACGACAACGCTATTTGCGAAGCTCAACTATTCAAAGCTCAAAAGAAATTACCCACCAATTGCATAACTTCAAAAATCCTGGCTGAAGACTACAACGTAAATGAAATTAACAAAAATCAATGGCTTGTTTCTGTATCCGAAGACCTACCAGTTACCATCAAATGTGACGACCAAAACACACAGACAGCTACTATTAAAACTACTTCACTAATTCAGTTAAATTCCCGATGCAGTGCTTTTATTGGAAATACACGAATCCAATCAAAACTTCAACTGGAAAAATTACTAAACGTAACATATAGAAGTCACCCCGTACAAGTTCCATTTGACTGTTGTAAAAACCTTCCACGAAAAGAAAAACTTCCTACATTAAAGCCATTAAAGTTAAACAAGATAAATACCGAAGACTTAAACATCGCTCATCACAAGCTAAATCAATATTCCGAAGAATTGGACAAACTAATAAATGAACCATTTATTACAAAATCTATCTCCTGGTCTACAATTATTACCTTTGTACTCATTGCTATACTAATTATAATGTACAGCCTCTATAAATTCAAACCAAAAAGGCGTACTCCCGTTATTGTAACCAACTTCAACGATGACTCTCCTCCAGCACCAAGACCAAGGCTACCAGAAAACGCCCAGCAACCCTGGAGACATCTGCTTCCAAGAAGACGTCCCTCCTTTCACCTAGGAGAACCAATCGAAGAAATCAACCTTTCAGAAAAACTATCTCAATAAAAGTCAATGCTATAGCATCGACTTTTCTTTATAAGGGGGAGCTGTTATATCATCCACAAACACCTTATCAGCACGTACAAAGATAACACCAACATTCCATATTTCTCATATTACCAAGAGATACACCAAGAAGCGGCGATCCCACGGAGTCAGCAAAACAATATTTAGTATAAAAACAAAATGTAACACAAAAATTAATTCATTATATTTTAACTAAGCTTACTAGAACTTTAATGTATTGTAATAAATAAAAATCTTTTTTTAAAAAGTAAATTTTAATTAAGTGAAGATAACATATATATATATTATATATATATATATTATGGTTGAGTGAATTTTTTTTATTTATTAATTGATTTTTCCTGTATTATTAATTGTTGACTAAAGGCGTAAAATGAATAAATATTAAAAAAATATTCCAATTTTTTAATATCTTGAGGTGGCGCATTAAGTTTTGAAAATTCTAATAAAATAGGACTTCAATCAAAGTAATAAAAATAGCATTATTAATAAAGAAAAAGTATATTTTAGTAAAATTAACGTGAAACCTAAACATATTTAATAGTAAATCATAATCTTTAAGTATCTTCTTTTTCGCGAAATACTGACATTTGGTATCAAAATTTGGTAATTCTTTTCTGGTTTTAATTCTTGTTCTGATGAAACCATTTCTTACTTCCGATCCACAAACCGAGACTGAAGATTCAGTATAGGAAATGGTCACCCGAAAAAATCATATAGGTAATTTATTTCATCCTATTTCATAGTCATAGGTTCAGTTACCTTTTCTGTCAGTGAATTAACTCGTAAAAATGTAATGCTTCAGTGTTTAGTTGTGGAAGCTTTAATTCCCGTAATCTTGAACATTTTGATTCTTTTCTCGCCTTTAATATTTTCCGCAATGCTAGTTCTATGATCGATAAATATCTTGTAGGTAACATAGCAAGTGAGGAGATGCATGCCAAAACTCCATATTAGTTGTTTTTGATAAAAACCTTACACGTGAGTACTAACGCATATCAGGCCAAAACAATAATTTAAACGAAATATATAAGCATGTTAAATATTTATATACCATGATTAAAAAGGTATAGCTCCAATTTAAAATAATTTAAAATTACATACGTAGGTATATACCGAGTTCTGCATGATATAACCAATAGATAAGGCAAGTTTTGGAACGATAGTCAATTTGTAAATGAATTTTAAATGGAATAAGGTGAGTTTTAGAATATTATGAACTTTTCAGGGTATAGAGGGATACATGTTAAATGTACATGTAAAAAGTGGATAAGGCGGGTTTTGGAATGGACCTCCTTAAGTAATAGGTTTTCGGGATGTATATTTCGCTGAATATTCTTTATAACTATAGTTATAAGGCCTTCAAGTTTTTCTGGAGGTATAATGCTCTTTTAGTGAATATGTGAATAGGACCGTGTTGGGGCATACACTTTCAGGATAAAAGTAGCCAATTCTTTTAGGTTTCCCGATGGATTTGCTGTCCCCACATATAAACGAATAATCCTATTAGCACAAGTCAGCCATAGGGAATGTGCTAGCTTTCCTGGATATTTCTTAGCTACAGCTAACAAAGATCCTTATAAGGAAGTGGGAATTGTACCTTAAGATATCGCTGAGCAAATTTGCTACATTTTTTTTCGATTCGTCCTCAACAAACTAGCATCAATTTTACGTCGATTACTTAAAATCAACTACTTCATAGTTCAGGCACTTCTCCAGTTATTTACCAATAACACCTGAAAAACTTTTCGGAATCGAGGTATGTGAAGTAAACACACAAACAACTGTAGAGGGCGACCAAGTTATTCTTCCAGTAAAACGATGACAAACGATGTCCTCTATTTACCGCGGTTCCATCACATCCTATTGCAACCAAATTTTAAAAGCACATTTGCACGAATTCTTTGAATCGCATTTACAAGTAGCAATATCAAATAGTTTTTTGGACTCGTCGCAGAATAACTTCTTTTTTAAATCATTGCGAAGTTTTTTCACGTCCTTGTACTTGTTGTAATATGAAATCAACCTCGCCACAACTTGTTCATGGCTAACAATACGAATCGAAGTTTTATTTATTCCATATTTTCTCGATGACACAGGAAATAATTTAATTCAAGGAAATCATTTCTGACCAACAAATAATATTTAATTATATCATTATATGTCGGCAACATGTTTTGAGACATTTTTTGTGGTTCACCTAATACAGTACATCGCCAATCTTTACGAGTTTTAAGCATTTTGCAACCGCTCGATTATTAAGTCGGTATACAAAGATTATTTATTGATTGATAGCGACGCGGTGAGCGTGGATGGGAGTATAACAAATAATAAACCATGACAAAAATATCAATATTAATTTTAATCTATTGACATAATAATTATCAGTATATTGATAAAAATCCGCGCCTAAAACAGAATTTGTTTTTTTTCTTGCTGCGTCAAAATTTTTTGGATAGTTAATGTACATATATGTGGTCAACAATAAATAATACAGGAAAGAAGAAATACGAAACGAATTTTTTTTGACCACCCTAATATATAAATTTTATCAAAAAATCAAGATATGGTGTTCTTCTTTGCGATATATCCAAAACTAGGCTGCAAATTCAAAAACATGTATTTTCTGAATGGTTTAAAATTAAATATTTCAATTGTTTTTCTTAGAATTCCGAAAAATATTAAGACTTAGACTTTATAATTTTAGACTAAACATATTTACCTACATAATTTGATAAATTATTTAAGGTATGCGTGTACCAAGATTTAGTTAAATAAATATTTTTTTAAAACATGTTTATGTTGTTTCCATTAGAGATTAACTCTGGCCCAAATAAAATGTTGAAACAGAATATAATTGTTTTATTTTCCACTAAAACTTTAAAAGATGGCACACAGTAAGAATCCCAACGAGATTGTTCCTCTTTCGGAGGAATCCAAAAATATTATCAGACAAGGTAAAAATAAAATATAAACATACACACCCACCAATATATTTTTAATTTTAGTTCAGACAAATTTTCTACCACCAGATGATTTCGTACACGTCGGGCCAAAAAGGTACATGTGCTCAAAATTGTATGAAAAATACAAGGATGAAATTTATAATTTCCAAATTAAAAACACTGATGTGTGGGTAAATTCCTATGGAAGATCAGGAACAACCGTTACCCAAGAGATGGTGTGGCAAATTTGTAATAATTTAGATTTCGAGAAAGCATCAAAAACACCTCTTATTGAAAGATTTCCATTCTTTGAGTAGAAATAATTTTGTATATGATTTTATTATTTTAATTGATAATTCTTTTTAGATTTGCTATATATCATTCAGAAGAGATGGAATCATTTTTACAAAAACATGCAAATGATCCCAAAAAATGTGCTTCCATCAAAAAGTTGTTTACTTTAGAATGGGAAAAAACTAAAGTTCCTGAAAAAAGATTTTTTAAATCTCATTTACCTTTATCCTTACTTCCGGCGGAAATTACCAAGGTTGCCAAAGTAAGGAAAAAAATAATTAACTATTACTATAACTTATTTTATAAATAAATTTAAGATTGTTTATACGGCTAGAAATCCAAAGGATATGGCAGTATCAGGGTATCATTTTATAAAAATGTATGAAGATCCCCCAAAATTCAAGAAGTATTGGAATCTTTGGGAAAGAGACTTAAGTAATAATTTTAATATAATAAATAAATTTGGCAAAATATTTTTATTTTTTAGTGCTTCAGCAACCATATTTTGAGCACATTATAGAAGCATGGAATATAAGAAATAAGGAAAATATTTTCTTTTTATTTTATGAAGATTTTGTTAAGGTACTAGTTTTAACAAAATAATTGCAATATTTGTCACTCGAAAACAATATTTTAGGATATCAGAGGAACCGTCGTAAAACTCTGCAAATTCTTTGGAAAAACCTACTCAGACGCCCAAATAGATAAGCTTGTAGATCATTTAAAAATTGATAATTTTAGGAATAATTCAAGCGTAAATAGAGATTATTTTGATTATTATCCACCAAAAGTGGAAAATTTTGTCAGACGTGGAAAAGTTGATTCTCATAAGGACGAAGTATTCACCAATGAACTGAGTAAAAAGGCAGATAAATGGATTCAAGAACAATACAAAAAAACTGATATGAGATTCCCTAACATACCATATTAAAGTAGCTTAAGAAAATATCTATGTACCATATAAAATAAAGAGTTTTTATTTATTTATTTTTCATTGAGTACATGGTGGCAAAATGAATGTTAACCCGGTAACTACATTAGCTTATTTCATTAATATTACTAATGAGGGGTCATGTGTGTGTCATAGAAAACAGGTGGATATACCTGACAAGCTATTTGGTTGGCTTATTGGAAAATATTTGTACACTAAATATTTAACCAAAATTTAATCTATTCCATAGGTTTACTGATTTACTCCTATGTCACCATCCGATTCCAGAAGGTTTTCGATAGATCGATCACTCGCTACTACAGTTAAAAATATTTAAAACGAGTTAAGATGTTCTTCTTTGCAACCATGCAAAAGTACAATATTTTACTGTAAAATAAAGTAAAATAAAAACATAAATTTAAATAGTTTTCATAATTTTATTTTGGATCATAAATTATGATTATGATATTATGATTCATAATATAATAAAAAACCAATTGTTTCGTAGTCGTTTTAAGATACTGGTGTAAGGGTCGACTTTATTTTAAATATATTTAACATTCTGAAATGGTAGAGAACCTTACACAGTAAAAAAATATTTGGTAATTTTAAATAAATAATAACCAGATTTTATGTTAATTCATGTCCAAATAAATATATAGTAAATTTAAAAGAAAACGATGTACACGTCATCGATGACGTCATAAATTTGCGCACTGGTACCAACACTAAATTTATAAAACGAAGTCTGTAATTGAATATTTTAATGTATTTTAACCAAATTAAGTTGGCAGGAATTGCAATGTTGGCATGTTTAGATTAAAATTTCGCTTAATAAAATGACGCATAGAAAAAGAAATTGACGTTTTAGAATTTCGAAGCTGTCAGTTGTGTTTTTAAATATTTCGTTTAATTCGTGTATAATTTCTTTTATTTTGTTTGTTGTTTGTGTTATTTTATATCGTTATAAGTTTTCATTGCCGTTTTTGTGTTTGTTATATATCGTTTTTCCTATAAATAAAGCCGAAGCATTTAAATAGTCGATGTCAAGAGTTGGTATAATCCTTAATACGCTATTTTAAGGCAGAACGGGATAATAATGGACCTTTGTTGGACACATAAAATAAGAATATATATACCAGAGACTGACCTTAGATAGCAAAATTTCTGAGTTTTATAGCTGAAAATGTCTTTAAAAATGGCTAAAACATACTTTTGGCGGTGCATCATATAGGTTATAATAACTCTGACTTTTGACATTTTGGTATTATTTATATAAACGCCATCTATCGCCCTGTAGTTGCACTACCACTTTCACTTAATGCAATGATTTTAGCATCACATTGACAACCGTGCCCGATCAGCTGATTGATGACGTGTACGTCGTTTCCTTTTGAATTTACCACAGAGAAGAGGTTTTTCTATGGAATTTACTATATGTTACGTTTCAACAAACTCTAATTTGTTAACTAAGTAAACAGGTAGTTTAAAATTATTAGAGACATTTTTTAGTTTTAATAACAAAATTCTATGTCAATATTTAACAAAATGGCTATTTATACGTCCGACGTATACAAAATTTGGTATACGTCTTGTGCTTTCATTGGCTAGTTTGAAAAAGTTAATCTAACCTATAAACTTCAAAATGAAAATTGTCAGATATTCAAACTGCTGAATTTTATAATAATAACGTTAAAAATATATAAAAATGAAGTAATTTACAAAAATTATGTAAGCAAAATTAAGTATTTGATAAAAAGTATAAAAATGGCTAAATATGAGGCAAAAACTTCTTCCTACAAAATAGGCCTCTATTCCTCTATGGGGCGGGGAGGCCAATGGGGCGGGGTCGGTTGGGTTGGGTTGTTGAGTTTGGGTTGGTTTGGGTTGGTTTCGCTCACTTTTGCCCATTTAAGTTGATTGACAGTGAGCGAAACCAACCCAAACTCAACAATGAAAGCTCAAGACGTATACCAAATTTTGTATACGTCGGACGTATAAATAGCCACTTCGAATATTTAAACCATAATTCTTATAATTTTCAAAATGGTCCTTATTCTTACAAACTTTTTTGTAGACCCAGTATCAGAAGTATTTGTTGGAAATTGTAAACTTGGAAAATGTTGCTTTATTAATAAATTTCCTAAAAAAATACATAAATGACCACAAAAATAATATATAGGTACCAAATTAAATAAAAAACCATTCTGAGATCCTCAGATTATATAAAAATTTGATTCAATATTACTTACCATCAGCACTACGAGTACACTTAGGGGTATTTTACTGTATCAGTATCAATTTTAGTTTGAAAACCAGTGGGTATTTTTTCGGATACTTCGCACTTCGCACACCCGTTATTTCTTATATGTATCTATAAGGAATCCGAATAATAATAATAACAGATTTCTGGTAATATATTATAAACATTTCAGTTATATATAATAAACACTCCAGTTGGTACGAAGTCGTTAGAAATCAGAATAAAGTCAGTTTATGGTTGACGATAAAAAAAATCAGTGGGAAATGTTTTGATTGGCTTCTTAACAAAATAATCTGTAACCTATGAACATTAACAAATCGCTTACAAGATGGCATAATACCTTTACAAAACTTTCGGTAAAATAATTACAATCCCTGGTTTTATACAAAGAATTATGTTAAAATTTTACCAAAATAAAAGTAGCAAACTACAAACTGTTAATTATGTTTATGTTACCAAATCTGATTTTTTATCAGTTTTTTTACATTGTTCTTTCATCCATTTATCAGCCCTTTCGTCTAGTTTATTGGTAAATATGATTCCTTTTCACGTCTGACAGAATTTTACTCTTTTGGTGTAATTGAAATAATCTTTACTCGCGCACGGATCATTCTTTAAATTGGCAATTTTCAAATGATCCACAAGTTTATCTATTTGGGCGTCATTGTATGATTTTTAAAAAAAATTGCAGAGTTTAATGATGGCACCCTTTAAATCCTAAAATTTTAATATTAATTAACTGATTTTAGTTTCAGATTTAGAAATAGGTACTTGGCTATAATATAAAAAAGTATAAAACATAAAGAAAACATTTTTTTATTTTCATCCATCCTTCTGTTACATGCTCAAAATAAAATGTTTTTTTTTCTAAATCATAAGCATAAGTTCTTCCCACCCAAGTTTTTTTTTCCATAATTTCCCATAAACAATCCAATGATGAGGAGGCAACTCCATGCATGTTAAAAAAATGATGTTGAATCAACATTGTTGATATAATTTCCTTTGGATTCCTAGCAATATAAACAATCTTAAATATAATACTAAGTAAGTTTTTTATTTAACTATAACTAAGTTTTACATAATTGACTTTAAGATTTTAGATGGCAATAGCCTAAATTTTTTTTTCGTTAAAATTGAAAATTGCCATTTTTACAAATATCACATAAACTTATAATCTAAATGGTCTGTTAATTGGTGATTCCGATTCTTCTCAGCAATATTTTAAGTCTAAGGTGCTTTATTGTAAACAAATAAGTTATTTTAAATTATCGTAGAAGAAAATATACAAGGTCATTTGCAAATTTAAAGGGGTAGTCCGGATGTGACAAGGTAGACCCTTCACCAAGTTTTTCTAACTTCATCAGATTTCGCAAACTTTTGCGCATGTCCGAAACCGTACTAACTCATATACTAATTCGGTCTTGTCCAGTCAATTAATATTTAATTTTAAATCCATGATCGCAATATAATATATTATATAATCAAAATCAACTACAAAAACAAAACAAAAAACAACGATTCTTCCAGGCCAGTGCGGTCAAATTGACAAGTCACAGTTAAGGGTTATTAAAAGCCATTATTGGCTTTTATATAATGATTTATACTGTCAACCGTGTTTGCTTATTTGTTTTATCTAATTTGAATTGAATCACCATAAACAGTAAATATGGACCAAATTGGTGGTCTGTCAGGGGAGGTAGTTAAGGCACTGGGACCAAATTCGACGTTTTTTGTGTAGCATATATAAATGTTTGAAACTAAATATTATCATAAATAATCTCTCTAAAAATGAATTAGTCAAAACTAATTTAATAGTTATTGGTTTCACTGGTAACATGGTTAACCATGGAATACCATGGTATCCCAAAATTTAACAGCCAATTATTATGTAAAATTGTCCCCTGAATCCGAAAATACCGTAAAAAATTTTGAAAGTGCTGCAGTTTTTGAGATATAGTCAATTCCATATTGAATGGAAAATTGACTATATTTCAAAAACAGTTCTACTTTTTTAACTTTTGACGACATTTTCGGATTCAGGGGACAATTTTACGCAAAAACGCGTAATATTTATCGTGACTTATATAATAGTTAAAAAAAATATTAAAAACATTCCAATTAAGAATACTTTAACCGCCTGCCGATAGCGGTTTTTTTTAAAAGCCATTCCAGCTGCTTCGCAGAAATATTCACCTGCGAACTCTTGCACGAGACGCTAGAAGTCTTAAAGGATATTCGAGACAAGACCAATAAAAGTCTCGTCTCGTCTGGTTATAATATTGCCTCGAGTCTCATCACGAAAACAAGACAAGACCATGCGAGACTCTCGTGGGCACCACTACCCGGACCGACAACAAAAATCCGGGAGTGGCCTTAACCATCGAGCTATCTAATGGGGACCTACATCCTAATATACCAATAAAACCATATCCCTAACAGGGCAGCCTAATCCGGCCCCAACTAAAAAAATATATAATACAACCCAATCGGAATGACTGATGCCACCCTGATTAGAAAATCCATATCCTAATATCCCAATATCCCAAGACGGTCTGCCTGATCCGGCCCCAAATGAAAAAAATATATTTAAACCCAATAGAAAGGGTGATCCGGCTCCGACAGAAAAAATTACATCCCAACCCATTTTGGGTGCCTGGAATCCAGGCCCTGGGTTTCGGCCCCGACAAAAAAAATTTGAAACCACCAATCGGGCTCCCTGATCCGGACCGGACCATAAACCATAATTT